GAGAAGCCACATGGAGATTCATAGGATGGGCAGAGATACAGAACACACCCATGTGTGTCAGATAAAAATCAGGAGGGATATCTCAGCTGAAGAGGTTCCCCCTGAGGAGTGAGGGTGTTCCAACCCCACACCAGGGCCCTCCAGCTCAGGAGTCTAGTGCTGGGAAGAGAAGGCCCCATAACTTCTGGCTGTGAAGACCAGTGGGGATTATGACTGAGTGACATGGAGGTTGCTGGAGTCCCAGGTGTTCCTCTTAAAGGAGCACACACATGGACTTACTCAGACACTCCCTCTGAGCTCCAGCGCTGGGCAGTAGCTTAAAAGGCAGCAGGGACACACAGGGAGGAACCGAATTGTCTGCCATCATTCAGAGAGCTGGAGGGACAGCTTTCTGCCAGACGAAAGTGCTGTCTGACGCCCTTATTCCTCCGATCAGCTCTCCCCCACAGAGCCAGAAGGCAGGCATCACATCTGAAACTCCTTCAACCTGGCTAACACTATTTTCCCTACTCTGGTGATTCCCTGAGACCCCCACCCCACCCAACTTGTGGGCCCACCCAACCCATTTCCAGGGTTTTTTCCATAAGAAAGGCCTGTCTTGGCTCACATTTCAGACTTTCCTAAAACTTTACAAACAGGCAGCATCTGGTCTCAGCATGCTTCATACCTCTCGCTAAGTGGTTCCAGGCCCAGCACTAGCATCAGCCATCTGCAGATTGCCTTGTATCTCATGCTGGGTGGCCCTGCACAGAGCACAGGCAGTGACTGACTTTGGCCTGAACCTCCCAGGAGGCCCCAGAGCCAGCGCAACCAGTGGACAGCTTCAGAACATATTGAAGCATCACCCAACCACCTCCACAGTGACACACTCAAGGGTTAGACTCAGCATGACCAGAGCTCTGTTAAAGTTAGTCCTGTTCTGTAAGGTGGGCTCCTGCACAGCTGATCCTCCACGGTGGTTGGTGGTCGCAGCCAGTCCTTGCAACCTATCAGCCTGGGGATAAATCCCTCCCACTGACATGCCAACAGCAATTAAGGCTCAAGTACAAGAGGAGGGTGTACACAGCCTACACAGTGGGTGGGGCACAACTGGAGTGCCCAGATCAGGTAATCAGGGAGGCTGTTCCACTGGACCCCAGAGGACACCTACTACATTAGGCCACTCTACCAAGTCCAGGAGACATAGAAACAAACACAGGGAGACAAAGAAACATGGCCCAAATGAAAGAACAGAACAAAACTCCAGCAAAAGAACTAAAACAAAATGGAGAAAAGCAATCTACTAAAGGAAGAGTTCAAAACACTGGTTATAAGGATGCTCAATGAACTTAGGGGAAGAGTAGATGAACTTAATGAGAACTTCAATAGCATAAAAAAGGACATGGAAACCATAAAAAAAGAACCAGTCAGAAATGAAGGCTACACTAACTGAAATGAAGAATAATTTACAGGGAATCAACAATAAAGTAGATGAAGCTGAGAATTAAATCAGCAATTTGAAATCTAAGGAAGTAAAAAACACCCAGTCAGATCATTAGAGCAAAAAGAAAAAATAATCCCCCAAAATGAGGATAGTGTAAGGACCCTCTGGAACAACTTCAAGCAAACCAACATTCGCATCATGGGGGTACCAGAAGGAGGAGAGAGCAAGAAATTGAAAACCTATTTGAAAAAATAATGACAGAAAACTTCCCTAACCTGGTGAAGGAATAGACATACAAGTGCAAGAAACACAGAGAGTCCCAGACAAGATGAACCCAAAGAGGTCCACACCAAGACACCATAATTAAAATGCAAAAAGTGAAGCCCTGGCCAGTGTGACTCAGTTGGTTGGAGCATTATCCCATACACCAAAAGGTGACAGGTTTGATTCCTGGCCAGGGCATATACCTAGTTGTGGGTTCAATACCCAGTGGAGGTGCGTGTGGCAGGCAACTGATCGATGGTTCTCTCTCACATCAATGTTTCTCTCATCCTCTCTCTAGAAAATCAATAATTTAAAAAAGAATGCAAAATGTTAAAGACAAAAAGAGACTCTTAAAAGCAGCAAGAGAAAAGCTGTTAGTTACCTACAAAGGAGCTACCATAAGACTGTCAGCTAATTTCTCAACGGAAACATTGCAGGCCAGAAGGAAGTAGTGAGAAATATTCAAAGTGATGAAAAGCAAAGACCAGAACCAAGATTACTCTACCCAGCAAAGCTATCATTTAGAATTGAAGGATAAAGAGCTTCCCAGACAAGGAAAAGCTAAAGGAATTTATCACCATCAAACCAGTATTACATGAAATGTTAGAGTCTTCTTTAATAATAAGAAAAAAAAACAATAAAATGGCAATAAATACATATCTATAATAATAAAAGCATAATATGTTAATTAGACTGGACGTCCTTTTGGATGAAACCGTGGTGGCGGGGGCCAAGGCAGAGGTGGCCGTGGCGGCAGAAGCCAAGCCCCTGCACGAACTTCATGCATCGGGCCTCTAGTCTATCAATAAATGAATCTAAAAAACAAAATAAATGAAGAAACAGGACAGAAATAGACTCAGAGACCACTTTGACGTTTGCCAGATGGGAGTTTGCGGGGGGGGTGTGAAAAAGGTGAAAGGATTCAGAAGCACAAGTTGGCTATTACAGAGTAGTAATGGGGATGTAAGTATAACACAGGGAATAGTCAATTATAGTCTAATAACTATATATGGTGTCAGATGGGTGTGAGATTTATTGACATGACTACTTAGTAAGTCATGTAATGTCTAATCATTATGTTGTACACATGAAACTAATATAATATTGCACGTCAACTGTAATTGGAAAATAAATGGTTTTTTTTTTAAAGGAAAGAAATTCTGGCATAGTCCACAGCATGGATGAGCCTTAAGAATATTATGCTACGACACAAATGGACAAATATTGTGTGATCCCACTTATATGAGGGACCTAGAGTAGTCAAAGCCATTGAAAGTAGGTAGGTGATGGTGCCATGGGCTGAGGAAAGAAGGAATGGACCGTAGCCAGTTGCTCAGTGGTTAGAGCATCAGCCCATGGACTGAAGGGTCTCAGATTTGACTCTGGTCAAGGGCAAGTACCTGGGTTGCAGGCTCAATCCCAAGGCCCAGTTGGGGCACATGCAGGAGGCAATCAGTCAATGTCTCTCTCACATCGATGTTTCTGTCTCTCCTACTTACTTCCTTCCACTTTCTCTAAAATCATGGAAAAAATATCCTCTCGTGAGGATTAACAAAGAAAGAAAGAAAAAGAAGAAAGAAAGAAAGAAAGAAAGAAAGAAAGAAAGAAAGAAAGAAAGAAAGAAAGAGAGAGAGAAAGAAAGAAAGTGAGTTGTATTTAATGGGGAGTTTCAGGTCTTTGAGATGAAATGGTGATGGCTGCACACTGAGTGTCCTAAGTACCACTGAACTATACACCTGGAAATGGTTAAGATGGTAATTTTTATGTGTATTTTACTTCAATAAAAAATTGGAAGAAAAACAAATCATGGTACTGTGTCAGTAAACTAACAATTCTATGCTCCGAGAGGTCACAGTTCGATTCCTAGTCAGGGCACGTGCCCAGGTAGCGGGCTCAATCCCCAGTAGGGGGTCATACAAGAGGCAGCCAATTGACGTTACCAGCCCACATTGACATTTCTCTCTTCCTTCCTCTCTCTCTAAAATCAATAATAAATTTTTTAAAGTGAGCAATTAAATATGGTATCCTGAATTGCCTCCTAAAACAGAAAAGTTTATTAGCGAAAAAATGGGCCAATAGCTTGCAGTGTACTTAATACTAATGTACCAAAGCTAATTTCTTAGTTTTGACATATATATACCATGACTACTAAGATGTTAACATTAGGGAAACTAGATAAAGGGTATACTGGAACTGGTTGTACTATCTTTGCAAGATTTCTCTAAACATTATTCCAAAATAAAAGTTTATTTTAAAATGAGTTTTAAAAAGCAAGCAACTTTTAAAAAGTTAGAATTCCTACATAGAAGACAAACACAACACAAATATATTAGAATTGACTAAGCAAGCAGCAAATATGAACACCCATAGATAGCTACAGGCGTGGAATTTTATTTTTATTGTACTTTTCACTGTTGCCTAGCTATTATCTCATAATCCACTCATTGCAAAAGGCAGGCTGTTGAATTTTGTATTGCAGTACTAGTTCCTTAATGACCTGGGTGCCTTTTTCCACTTAGATCACACAGGTTTCTTATTGTGGATACAGTGTAAACTTCCTTCAGCCAGTTGATGATTTTACATCTTCGGTAAGTTGATTCTAAGTTTGTGAGCATCCTCTTTGGAGTCAATAAGAACCCAGGCAGTACCACTCAGACCACTGGGCCTTGGCTCGCGGTCCAGCGTCCCGCTTTCACAGGGTGCACAGAATGTAAGCTTGTCTGGGAGCATACAGGCACCTGCACACACGTGTGGGCCACTTTAGCCACTGGAAGCCCAGGTTCAATGTGCTGTCGTTGGAGGAAAAAGACCATGAAACTTCATCAGTCACCAAGTGGTGGGAAGCAACTGGTAGAAACTTCTTGCTTTATTCCGAGTGTATTTAAATACTAGGCTCAGAACGAAGTGAAAACAAAGCTTTACTCAGAAAGACAACATGAAACACTGAGGTTTTCTTTCCCAGCCAGCTTCTCTTCTATTACAGGCCAACTATGTAAAAGCTGATATGACTTATAGAAGCGTAGGAAATACACTGTCGCTTTTAACTACTCTGCCCAAGGGAGAAATGACTAAGGGCATTGTCTCTCCTTTCCTTCCCTTCTCCGAAGCCAGTAGTCTGAGCATCGAGGGGCTACAGCCGCAGGTGCGAGGAGCTGCAGCCGCAGGTGCAAGGGGCTAGGGCTCACAGGTGCAGCTTGCATTTCCCTCCTCCACGACCTAAGGTCAGATAGTTAGCCTGCTTTGACCACAAATAGAGCTCTTAATTTCTCTAGCACAACCTGAACTTGATATGAGGCACTTACACAAAGAATGGTGCAGACAAGAAGGCAGCTTTATTGTACTTTGTGGGGGAAAAACATGATTCCATTTAGGGAAGGAAAAAAAAGCCATTGACACTGAGTGAGCAACAGCGCCATCTAGCGAAATGGCACACCACCAGGCTTCAGAGACCAGCTAGGAGCTGTGAGATTTGCTGGTGTAAATTTTCACCACAAAACATCAAAGATAATTAGGTCTTCAGAGAATCTAATGTTAAGAAACGATTTTTATCTTCGAAATGCATAAATGTTTGTGCTTTCTCTGCTTTTTTGAGTAACAAATGAGTTTTGTTTTGAACAGACCATCAAATTAAGTCTCGATTTCAAAGTTATGAAACACTGAGGCAACCGCCTCTTTGAACATCTATCACTCTTGCTCAACGGTCTAATAGCAACCCCTGGTAATGACAGACAGTTCATAAAGAAGCAAAACTCCACTGTACAAGAACTACATTGTTTACTCATTTCCGCCTTCTATTTTTACAGTCTAGGGTGCTAAGTATTTGCACTTTGCTTATTTGAATTCCTGGAAAAAAGCTTTAGAACGTACCAACAATTTTGCATAAATCACATAACCCAACTCTTATTATGACTACACCATGACAGCGGGAGACACGGGCGTGAGGATGTGGGAGTGCCGCTCCTAATGAATAACGAAGCCATTCTTCTCAAGGCTGCAATGCGCCTTTACACCCAGGTGTTGCGGTAAACGTGTTGATCTGATGACTTCTATGAGCATATAAAGGGGAATGTTTAGTGAAACACCTGGCTGGGAAAAGAAATGAAGTTGTAACAATAACATATTGTTTATAAACATCAATCTCAGATTGGCATCTCTGCAATTACTGAGATATTAGATTCTGGGTTAAGTGCTCTGCTCTTTGGAATATCCACAATGGTTACTGACCAGCTAATGAGTTCCTGCATTGCAACATGTCTGGGTATGTGGTGGAGGCACTCACAGATTCTAGAATGCACGAGTCCGACACAGTCTTCATCAACCCATATGCTTGGCAACTAATAAATTCAGGGGAGGATTTCAGGATGAACCAAGTCCTGGGAAAGAGGTATACAAGTGTAGGGGAAGAAGTGGAATTAAAACATCTTTAGGTTCTGTTTTTTTGGTAGACATAACTGAATGTTTCAGTTCTGAGAACCTGAGATTGTCCAGAAACACAAAGTTCTGAGTGTAGGACGTTAGCTACCACAAAGGCTGAGCCAGTGTTTTGCATTCCCCAAAGCAACATGAACTGGAGAGTGGGTGGTAGTCCCTGAAGTACTGTATCCAAGTGAGGTGGTTCTCGAGGGCTGGTCTGACTGCCTCCGTGTTCACAATTCACAGCCCCCGCCCCTCGCCCCTTCCTGCAGCTGCATCTTCCACATAACGTGACTAGTGGGGTGTCCCTGAAGTCAAAGCAGTGCAAGGTGCTGGGAGCCTTTCATGAACTCAAACCTGATACTGAAGTCATCTCCAAAAGAGTTTATTAGCATGATTAAAACATTTTCTTGAATAAGGACAGAAAGATGTCTAAACAGGAAAGAGTGCCAGTGGCTATACCTTATAACCAGTATTTGCAACTGAAGGACACCTTCATTGCCAGTCCTCACTTTATTGGAAACAATCCGCATTTGCTGTTTCCATGAAAAGTCATGACTATTGCTAGGACTGGCAAGGAGTCCCCACTGCAATGAAGTATAAAAAATATCTCCTGTAATTGGAGTGAGACCTGCATACTGAGTAAGAGCTGATAAAATCATCAAAGAGTTGGGTTGTTTTTTTAAAAAAAACATTCCTTTTACACACTACAAAGAAATAATTAGTATTTTGGCTTTTTAAATTCCTACATGATCTTTAGCCCGACAGTCCCCCAGCTCCTCCCCTGCATAATGGAGAATGCAGACGCTCTTCGGTTACACGGGTTTGAGAACAAAGACAGCGTCGTCCAGGACGTAGTAGTCGTTGTACATGTCCCCTTCACACAGGTACGGCAGTCTGGTGAAAGCCTCGATCGCAAAACCCGCTTTCCCGAAAACTTCAGGCAGACTGTTCACTTGCTCTTCCCAGTTCTGTCCCTTGATTTCCAAAATTTCTGATGGCTTCTCCCACTTGCCACCTACTAAAACAAATAAAACATTAAGTTAAATTCTTGAACAAACAAGTTGTTTGAAGAGGGGAGGAGGGACGAGTGTGCCAAGCGCTGGGTGCTCTGCTGACTCCCTCCCAGGCTCCTGGGGTAGGGGACAGAGACAAGAAGCAGACTGAAAAAGGGGAAGGAGCCCAGCTTGCAAGGCCAGTGAGCGCCAGAGCAGGCAGGAGCGTCGGGTTCTGCCCCAAAGCTCACTAAATACTGGAAAACTGAGGCAGGAGCAACACATGATACTGGAAGGAGGGTTTTGGATAAATACAAGAAAACACCACTGCTGTAGTATACTTATGCAATGAATTAATTAGAGAGGTTTATTAGGCTGAAAATAAAACTAGGTTAATACAGGATTTTAATTTATAAAAATAAATAATCAGTGTGCTTTTCAAGGGAAGTTGGTCCACTCTCTAACTTTTCTTTTAAAAAAAAAATTTTTTTTTTTTATTGATTTCAGAGAGGAAGAGGGAGAGATAGAAACATCAATGATGAGAGAGAATCATTGATTGGAGGCCTCCTGCATGTACCTAACTGGGGATCAAGCCCGCAACCTGAGCATCGAGCCCACAACCTGGGCATGTGCCCCTCACCAGAATCAAACCTGGGACCCTTCAGTCCGCAGGCCAACCAACGCTCTATCCACTGAGCCAAACCAGCTAGGGCCACTCCCTAACTTTTCAAAACAACCTTATAAAGTAAAGCTCCAGGACCAGAGACAGAGCGAGAGAGAGAACGGATGCGTCCCGCATTCCCTGCACTGACGCCATGTCAACCACCTCATCTGAGCATCACGAGGGGGGGGAGGTCTTCAAGTTCACATACATACCAAGCATCGACTAGAGAGAGAGACACACACAATGTAAATCCAGGTGCTTGTAGATACTATGGTGATGTAAAACACACAGAAATTAAGTGTTACTAAATTCAGCTGGAATAACGTGCTGTAAACGGGAAACTCTGTCACTGTCAGTGCCAAGAGCACAAGCCCTGCAGTGGGAAGACATCACAGGACGCACTCCCCTGCCTTTGAGCTCAGACACACTGGCTGAGCCCTGGCAGGAAGAGCTGGTGCCCCAGGAGTGAGGGCGGAGCCTCCTAGGGGGGGAGGGGGGAGAGCAGTGGCGGGGCGCCAGGGCTGGGGCAGCACTAGCAGGTGCTTGGCGGTGGTGTGGGCTTCAGATCAGCTGGATGGAGTGACCGGGGCATTTTTCTTGGCTGCAGCCCACATGCGATTCTGCCGTCTTCCCAGTGGCTCTGTGACCCCCTCCATCCTTTCCTTAAATTCCCTTTTGCTTAAGTCAGCAGAGTCCGTTTCTGTTGTTTAGAAAGAACCTGAGCACGGAGGGGGGCGGGGAGCAGGGCTGGGAGGGACGGATGACAGGTTCCACACACCTGCTTCACTGACACATTAAAAAGGGGTCACGCAAAACTGGGCTCGGCTACTTACTGGCACACAGCGTGTTGTTCATTATACTGTGATGTGTTTATTGTTCACTGATCTCTCTCTGTAGCGATTCCAGTGGTGACTCCCAAGACCGGCAAAGGGACTGCGCTGGACATGTAAGTAATACTCCTTCCCGGGAATACCCACAAATCAAGTCTCACTCACACCATCTAGCGCCTAAGAGGCTTTGCGAAAAGCCAAGACAAATGTATCATATGAACACCTAGACATGTGCTCTAGGCTAAAGTCTCAACTTCAAATGGCGAAACTGCATTACAAACAATATTTACACAATTTAAAAAAGTTCCTGATTATGGTTCCTTAATAAGAGTTCCTCTCTTCAGTTCTTCCTTTCTAAAAAGAGGAAAAAAGGGCAACTCTCTTCAAATACACGCCCCCACCCCACACACAGAGATGGAGGCTGTGGACGCGGCCAGGGCCCTCCTCGGCCTGGAAGTCGGTCTGCTTCTGTGCTGTGTCGGTAAGCTGCTTTTTCTCCTCCACTTGACTTAAATCAATTGCTATTTTTTGCCTAATGCATTTATATTTATATTTTAAGCCCCTACAAAATTATTTTAAAATGTGTAACATTACAGAAATTGTCTAAAGTGGTAAGTTTCCTTTTCCCGGGGGAAATGGTGATAAGAGAATCGCTGAGAACGTTTCATATTCGCACTGGAAACGTCCCTTTGCTATTAGCTGCTTTACAGAGAGCACCGCACCAAAGGGTGAGCTAGTCCTACAGCTCCAGGTGCCGGCCGTCAGTGACAGGGCTCCCAACCCCACAGGGTGACAGTGAGCGCTGAGCACAGCCCTGAGTCTTCACAGAACAGTGCTTCTGAAAAGCTGAATCTCTATAAAAGAGAGGGACTGCCGGCGGGGGGGCCGACTGCTTCAGCTCCTTTCCCGAGAATAACCACCCTGTCACAGACCCGAGTTTAAATTCTGCTGCTGCTGTTTTCATCCATGAAAGAAAGTGGCTCCCACCTCGCAGTTCTAATCATCTCATCATAGTCCTGATATAATGATCTCAGTTCTGCCCACAAAGTTTGGGTTGTAGGGCAGAGAAGGCAACAAAAGCTCTTAAAATTAACTTTTTTCACCTGTTAAAAATAAATATAAAAATGTTAACAGTGGTTATTTTGGGTTACAGGACTCTATGGGTGATTTCTCACTTCCACTTTCAATATCCTATTTTTTCTATGAGGTGCACCTATGTCTATCAGCTTGTAACTGGTGTGACTGTAAAGTAGAACCCTGCTCCCTGAAGGGGTGCGGATAGTGCCTGGGAGCTGCCTAAGGGGGAGTGGGCGCAGGTGGCGCGGCCAGGGAGCTCGCTGTGCCAGCTGCTATTCCACATGCTCAAAGCTGTCCCTGAGGGGCTTTCTCCTTTTCAAAAATTCGTTAACTTATTTTCTAGTTTTGTTTTTAAAAATAGTAAAATAACCTTTTTAAATTCCCTCCACCAAGGAGATAAACTTTCAACCCTTTCAGAGGGTACTACGTTTAAAATATCCTACAGAACATGAGAGCTCTTAAAGGAGCAGGCTGTGTGTGGCACATCATCCCAACTTCTCTTTTTTTGGAGATGTTGCTTAACTGGGACATGAAGAAACAGAAGTTTCCTCACAAGTCTACTCTCACAACTCCGGAAACCCTACCACTGATTTGCTCTCACGCAGACTCATTTTGCAGAACTGGAAATAGGCGGAGATATAAAACTCCAGAATTGCAAATAGTTCTTTTATCCTGGGCATTAGTTCTCCAAGGAAAGTGTTAAAAGCTGGCTTCTCTGGCCCTGGTCGCCTGCTCAGTGGTTAGAGTGTCGACCTGTGCATAGAAGGGCCTCGGGGTCAATGCCTGGTCAAGGGCATGTACCTGAGTTGCAGGTTCGATCCTTGGTCCTGTCGGGCATGTGTGGGAGGCAAGCAATCGATGTCTCTCTCTCACACTGATGGTTCTCTCTCTCTCTCTCTCTTTCTCTCTCTCTCCTCCTTCCTCTTTCCCTCCTTTCCTCCCTTTCCCTCTCCCCGCCTCTCCCTCCCTTCCACTTTCTCTAAAACTCAATAGCAAAAATATCCTCAGGTTAGGATTTTTTTTAATGTATTTTTACTGATTTCAGAGAGGAAGGAAGGAAGAGAGAAACATCAATGATGAGAATCACTGATCAGCTGCCTCCTGCATGCCCCCTACTGGGGATTGAGGTGGAAACCCGGGCATATGCCCTTGACTGGAATCGAACCCGGGACCCTTCAGTCCGTAGGCTGATGCTCTATCCACTGAGCCAAACCAGCGAGGGCAGGATTTACAAACCAAAAAAAAGCCAGCTTCTCTTTTAAGAATTCCTTCCCACAAAGGACTTGGAACTGAAACACTCTGTTAATCTGTTACACTGCAATAGGCCCAAGTCCAATTCAAAGCCTCCAAGATAAAATGGTCACTGGCTGCAAGTCAGTGTTCTCTAGCGTCAGGGTGACGTGTGGGCAGGAGGTGTCCGCCGCTGCTGACCAACCTTGCAGCCTGCCCGTGCCAGCGGTGCTCGGGGTGACC